AACATATTTAAAGTAATTGTATGGCTTATCCTCATTTATAGAATTAAGTACATTGTCTTGGGCATCAATAATATCATAGTGAAATCTTCCTTCACATTAATAATTGTTAAAATAATAAACAAAAACATTAAACAAATCTTAGTGGTAATCTATATTATTTAGTTTAAGGGTATTATTAGATTTCTCATTTGTTTTATAAAACAAAATACAAATGTTATATATTCCAAATTCAATAAAGTCTTAGTTTGTAAGAGAGATTCATTGATAATTCAGCAGAACAGCAACCCCAAAGAGAGTCTAATAATAGATAGATAAATTTAACAGAGAGATACAGTTAATAATCCTTTTTTAATCAGATTAACATTAGTTAATTGAGAGATGTCGCTATCAGTTAAATTCATTTGAGAATCTAATTGATAATAAGTTAAATAAGGGGATTGAACAGTATAAGAGAATGATTTATTAAATTGATTATTAACTGAGAGTGTAGATTGATTAGTATGATTAATTAATTCATTAATAAGAGGAGTATGAATATATGAGAATGTGATTGTTGAGATCTTGTCGTCATAATTAGTAAGATTAATTTTAAGACTTTTTGGTATTAAATTTCCATAAGTAGGTTCAATAAAGTCCATTAAATCGATTCTATAATAGTTAGTCAATTGAGTGTCATTAAATTTAATAACTTTTGTTATTGTACTAGTAATAATTTCATCTGTTTTGTCTGTTTTGTCTGTTTTTTGTGTGATTAAATCACCTATTTGTTCAATTTTCTCTTTTTCTTTATTCGAAAAGCTAAACATAAATTAAAATATTAGATCAATTATAAAAACTAGTTATTTCTGAAAAGCTATCAATATATTCAAAGATATTTGTATTAGAATTAGAGTTTGAGTCAGAGTCATGATTAGAACTCATAGCTTGATTAATTGTATAATACTCTAACCATAAATGCATTCGAGTATTAAGAAGTGTCTTTACTTCTTCACTTAGATTATACTTATCAAGTAATTTTTCATTTTCCCATAATTTCTTCAAGAGAGATGAATATTTCTTATTAATTTCATCAGAAACCTTTCTAGGCTTAGATTGTTTAATAGATTGAATAGAAGAAGTGTCATGACTATTATTATTACAATTATTATTATTAATAGAAGTAGTAGTAGAAGTACTATTACTGCAACTATTAGTATTTTGTTTTTGTTTACGAATATTGTGTTTCAGTAGACGCATTATTAAATGAAAATAAGATGAACTTGAAAAGAAGGAATTGAATAATTAAATCAAATTAATCATGTGGAGTGTCCTTAAGTATATTGTCGATGATCCAAATAAACAATGTACAATAATTTCTGAATCTATGGAGAATTCTGATGAAGAGACTTGTAGAGAAAATAGTCTTGAGATAATCAAGAATTATGTAGACAAGTACACCGAGAATTATATAATCTCTCTCCATTATCTAAGTGTTCCAATAATAATCAGTTATGGAAAAGAATTCCTGAATGTGAAAAGTTTCAATATATAAATGAATCCATAGAAACACAAAAGAAGTTATAAAAATTTTATGATGGA